GGAAAAAAGAAAGTTGAACGAGAGGCTGCAATAAATATAACGTCACTGAGATCCTTCACCGACTACCAAAAAATCATAATGAAACAAAAAGACACGTATTAAGCAAAAGATGTAAATAAAAAGAACGACACTAATTTGAGATTCGGCGCACAAAATATAACCCAAAAGAGCTGACAAAAACAATTCAAACTTTGAAACCATGAGCAAATTCCGTAGGGCAGTAAGTTTAACAGCGCAGGGATTAAAAACCACTTAAAAATAAAAACCCATACAGAGATTTATAAATGAGGGTTTTGTTTATTGCAATAAAAAAATAAGTAGGAAAAAATTTTACCCGATATGGCGCGGCGAAGAAAAGGATCAAAAAAAACCACTAAGAGAGGAGAAACAAAAACAGAAACAAGATTTTGACGCCCCGCAATACTCATGTCAAATGCTAAATCATAGTTATATAATTACCAGAACACACACGAAAAAAAAAAGAAAAAGGGAATGTCCATGATAACCCAACGCCAGAAAAGGCCTGGGCAAAAAAAACCCTAAATGAAAAAACTGGCGCTAAATTCAGTACCGCATTCCCAGCAGAAGAAACCAGCAGTAAATCTTCCCACAACTAAACGCAACAAGACAAAATCAACAGCATAATTAATAAGTAGATTAACGTACTATGGAGGTACCCTAAGAACTTGTTTGAAAAGTAATGCCTATCAGGGAGCATTCTGCACTGATGCACAAAAAGGAAATAAAAAGTAAAACAAAACAAAATTTAAAAAGACATACGGAAGAAAATTTCTGGGAAAAATCCAGTTTTGCAAAGGATTACTACATTACCTGTCCATGAACACTAAGTGAAAATGAAACTTTCTAAAACAGAATTCAATAACACCATACCATGAAAAAAAAATACATAAACAATTTACTGTAAATTAGTTAGCGCATCAGCCACACGTGATAAATTCCTCGCTGCATCAGCCAAAACTACAATTGCTTCTTCCAGTCTCGCTTCCCTTGCCATCTGAACTTCGAGGAAGCGTTCGGCAAGACTGTGGAATTTTTCTTGTCGCTAAAAGCGTTCTGATGACGCGTAATTACAGCCATTACCACTGACAAAAAACTGCAGAAAAATCAGAAAACCTCTATAAGCCTTAAAACAATTATAATAGTACAACCCTTAACTACGAAATTAAAGGCGCGGAAAAAAACTGCGCCACTTGATGACGCCAGAGTTAATAAAAGATAAAATAAATATTGCACCTCTAATAACTTCATTAGCAAACCACTGGGAATTGATTCTGCTTCTGAGAAACTTTCTTTCAATGATGATTCTTTAATATCCTCCTGTGACATGCGAACCGATTTTGAGACGTCATCTGTTCTCCCCTGAAAAACAATTGATAAAATTGCAATCAAAACGAAATACCACAAAGACCTTCAACCAATCTACCAAACACTCTGGAATTCGTTAAAGACAGCTCTTTCAAATTACTGTTGCCGAAAGGATAAAGCACCGGAGTACATTAATGTAAAGTGTTAAACATAAATCAAAAGAGGATACGTACCGTATCTTTCAGTATATTTTGAAGCGATCCGTTAGATGTTAACTTTGGAGTTTTTGGATCCTTTACAAGATCAACAATTTTTCTGTGGCTATCTGAAATAATGAAGGAAAGAAACTAGAATTGTCAATGCTGAACTTAGAATAAACATTATCCATTCTCACGAACTAATGAAAATGTTAATCTGCCACAACGACTAAATTTGAAAAAACTTTTCACAAACGCATAATTCCCGATGTCAATTATAAGCAGCCTCTCAAAACCTAACCTTCCCACAAAATAAAATTAAACAATGGAACCGCTTCACAGACACATACCTTGACTTACAGCACAGAGAACAGCAGCATTGCCCGAAGGAACAGCAGAAGAAGGCCCGTTCTGTTCCTCCATCAAAAAGACATCTAAAAAACCTCTTCAACTTTATTTTGATAAGAAGAAAGAAACAAAACAAAAAAAAAAAAAA